GGCTTTCCACCACAGAACCTTCCAGAACAAAATACCAACGGTGCCAAAATTAAGAAGCCTCATTATTCTGCATTATTTGTTTTCCTGAAAGATTCCTAAAATATATTAAATATTAATATACTGTCAGGTATATAATTGGCTAAGGTGGTACATACCTGGACTTCAGCACTTGAGAGAAAGGCAAGGGGGTACTGAACTGGAAGTCAGGCTGGGCTCAGCAGTTTAGAGCTCTTATTTATTACACTTGAACTTGGTCGCCAGCACCTACCTCAGTGGCTCACCAGCACCTCCAACTCCAGCTCCAGAGAGCTGATGTCTCTGGCCTTGTGGGTACTTGTACTTATGTATATATAGCCACATGAAGACACACACACCTACGTATAACTTAAAATAATAAAAGGGCTACAGAGATGGCTCAGCAGTTGAGAGCGCTGGATGTTCTCCCAAAGGACATGAGTTCAACTCCCAGCACCTCCATCAGACAGCTCACAGCCATCTGTAACTTCACCTCCAGGGCATCTATGGCCTCCACAGGCACCAGGCCCACACACAGTACCAAGTATACATGTGGGTAAAATATCCATACACATCCATAGCTATTTCTAAGAATAAATTAAAATTTAAATCAAAACCCACAAAACACACATACACATACACACACACACACACACACACACACACACACACTTGATTTTTTTAATTTTAAAGTGTCAGTAATTTATTACTTACATGTATAGATTATTAATTGCTATTGTTAATATGTATAGTCTAAATGGCAATAATAAAAATAAATGCAATAACACTTAATGGGGCCTTACTAGAGAAGGTTTGCCTATGTCTTTTACAACATCGATCAGCAAACTGTAACCACAGGTAAGATGTGATAGTCATCCACTTTTAAAAATAAAATTTTATTGGTACACAGACATATTTCTTCACTTACATATTGCTTATGGCTGCCTTTTCACTATAATAGCTGAGATATAAAGCCCAGATCTATGATCTACAAAGCCCCAAACAGAATCCCTTTCTTTCCAAGGGAAGTTCACAGATCCTTGTTTTATAGAATAATCAAATTGGATCCCCACAACTCTCAGGGTGTGTATTTCTATCACCCTCATTCACAAAGGGAGAAACTGGGCTTAGGAAGAGAAGTTACATGCTTAAGTGCACATGGCCAATCAAAGAAGTGGTACAGGGATTCAAAAACAGCCAGCCCACCTCCCAAGTCTGTGCTCTGCATTTCACCAGCCAGCTTTTCTGAAAAGTAATGAAAAGAAGTTACCTTTGGAATTCCTATACACAGTCTGCTCACATCCACCACACTGGGAATCATGGATGGTTTAATAGGGTCTTGTACTGTGGTGGAATCTTTGGGGTCATGTCCAGCCAGTATACCTGCAAGAAGGAATCCTTATGTGTGACAGGCGTATTGTTTTACAGTGAGATCTTCAAATAATACGTAACCACAGAAATACCTAACACAGTCGCTGTATCATCCACACATCTGGTGAAGATTCCTGGCACATCCATCGAATTCACCAGGGGAATGAGGCCATGACGGGAAACTAAGCCATAAGTTGGTTTGAAACCAACAAGCCCACAGTGGGCAGCAGGGTTTCTGGTGGAGCCTCCAGTATCTGACCCTAGAGCCCTGGGATTGAAGATTGAAAGAGAATTCTTTTTAGAGGAATGACACTCTTTAATTGCATTTGGAATCTACTATTTTAAAGTGTACTTTCCCTTAATTATATGGAGTAATCCATACTCATCTCAAAGGATTCATATGGTATAGAAAAGCACGAAGACCCAGCAACAAACACTGTTAACATTTTGGCAGAATCAACCCTCCCTCTTGCCTCTGCCTCCTGAGTCCTGGAATTATGGGCATGTACCACTATGCCTGGCCTTTGAACTCTTTTTAAAAATGTGTTTTTATTTTTTGGAGAACATTTCATAATTATAAGTTTCCATCCTTTTTTGTTTGTTTATAGTGACCCCCTGCTGCCATTAAAATTGTAAAAATTGAGAATGTGTAAATAAAATATGTCACATAACAATAGGCAGTATGCTTTCATAAACTAAACACTCTCTGCAGAAACCCAGACCCCAAGCCTTTGCTCTCCCATTTGGAGTCATGGCTAAAGACGGTACTGTAATTTGCACAATGTTGTTTTCATCTGAACGATAACTTGTAGCAAACCTTTGCTGTCAAACACCTTCACACATAAATCTCTGCTCCTGCTGACTGCTTTTAGGTTGCTGGCTTCTAAGAAGCAGGGTTAGTGAACAAGAGGGTCAGTTTGCTGTTATAAATTCTTAACCTATATAATCAAATTACTTGTTGCAGATTAGGCCAATTCATATATTTACTTCTAGCGAACTGTGTTTTAACATTTCAGTATCATCACTGAGTAGTAGTTTTTAAAATTCTGGTTAATCTGATTAAAAAAAAAAAACTTAAATATTCATTTTGAAAAACTTTTCATTACTCAACAAAGTGAATGCTCATTTCTCAGCCCAGTCACCTAGAGAATATATGCTGTTCTTATTAAAAAAAAAAAAAAGTAACATGGTTCAGACTATATGTCATGTAGAAGAAGGAACCAGGTGAAGCACGCCGGTCACAGGAGGACCAATGCAGAAAGCATAAGCAGGAAGTACCCAGCGCACGCAGACCCAGAGACAGCAGGAAGGAGGCTGCCGGAGACTGGGGGGTGGGGGCAGTTAACGGGCGCTGCTTTCAGTTTTCCAAATGAAAACAAGTTTTGCAGATTAATTGTAAAATTACATATACATATTTTACCACAACTGAAATGTTAAACAATTATTTAAAAACAAAGCTGTTGGATAGTACATGCCTACTGCAAAATTTAAAGTATATGATATAGAAGTAAAAATTTTCTCATGTAGCACCCTCAACAGCCCCGCTACACCCTTTCATCCAGATATCCCATGTATGACCAACATCCATGCCAAAGTAGTGACTACTCCAAACAGGAGTTAGATGCACTATTCAGAACTTGTTTCCACTTAATGTACCTTAAGTAACTTTCTACATCACCCCACAGTGCCCTGTCTCATTCTTTCTATGTGGCTCAATAATACTCCAAGAATCTTCTTAATTTAAAAACTATAATAAAACAAATAAATCAGTGTCAGGGAGACAAAAGCAGACTACCTGACAGTTTGGAGACATTCAACCTGAAGTTACTTTTGGTTGGCATTTCTACTGACTATATGTACATATATAATCTACTGATTATATTGAAAGCAATGCTTTGGACTGAATAATGTTCCTAACAATAACATGCCACTTGTGCTCTACAGAAAATGCAAATTGTATTTCCTTTCTCACCAAGTCCATTTAACTACAAAATCAGTCTGTTGCTTTCATAATTTTAAAAAGATACTGTCTCTTATTAGCATTCACTGACGGCTGTGTAAAAGTAAAACCTACATTTCCATAGGAATTATGTGTCAAAATGCCATCTTCTCAAAGTTGATTCAGAAAGATAACACTAAGTGGGATGATGAGGGTAGGAAAAAAATGCACCTGATCCTGCATTCTAACATGTCAGAACTCTCATTAATATTAATGCAATGCTATAACATTCCAGAGATAAATGAAATGGCTTTTCTTCTTAACAAGATTTCAGCAATATGAAAAAAAGTCTGAGGAAACTACTGCTCCATAGTTCTAAAATATGTAAATAAATTATTGGTTGCAATGCCTGTGAAAGAATGTAGTTTTAGTGGATAATTAAAGAGAGGGGAAATATATACCTATTATATTACTGAGGAAACACATTCAACTTAAATTGAGACTGATAAAATAAATCAGCATTTACTATTCTTTAGGTGGTTAACAATGTTTGGAGGGCCAGGGGCGGTGGCACAGGCCTATGACCTCAGCACTTGGGAGCTGGGCAAGAGGATCAGGGGTTTGAGGCCATTGTCTGCTACAAAGACTGAAGTCAACCTGGGCTGTAACTGAGACCACACTTCAGATACCAGCTCTCCCTAGAAAAAGAAAGAGATGTTTTTAACAGTGGCACTTCAAACATGGCTGACGGGTTCTTACTGATGTATGACAGCTCCTAAGGAGGCTGAAAAGCTCTGCTTAGTGGCAGGCACCTTCAGCCGCAGAGTTACCGAAACACTATTGTAAATATCCTGTTGATATATACTAAGGGAATTTCTTTTCTTTTTAGAGGTTTTCTGAAGGATAAATCACCACCCGCAGCTCTGCAGCAATGAACTAAAACACTGTCATTTGCATAGTGAACTGACGCCAGAATAAATTATTAAAAAATGATATTCATGAAGTCTACTCATGTTCAATGTTTTATTTGGTGAGATTCATAGCTATGTTTTTAAAGAACCAGAGACTACAGAAGAAAAGATAAAATGTTATTTTAAATTAAGTTTTTTTAATGTCATTATTATTATTATTATTATTATTATTATTATTATTATGATGTTTACAGTGTTCTGCCTGCATGTGTTCCTGCAAGCCAGAAAAGGACACCAGGTCTCATTACAGATGGCTGTGAGCCACCATGTGGTTGCTGGGAATTGAACTCAGGACCTCTGGAGGAACAGTCAGTGCTCTTAACCTCTGAGCCATCTCTCCAGCCCTTAAATTAAGTTTTAATGTCCCAAGTTCACCTAGTGGGCTAAAGCTGAGTATGCTTGAACACAAACAGCTCACCAGAAAGAAATACGAATACCAGGGTCTGAATTCCGTTGCTGCTGGGTTTTCACGTGGTTTGACCGCTATACTTGGGTGGGGTTTAAAGCACAGACAAGAAGGTGCATCTTACGCAAAGCACGTGAAGGCGGCCACAGCGGCCGCACTGCCCCCTGAGCTCCCTCCAGCTATCAGCCAATGGGAATCCTCCTGCTCGTCACGTTGCCGCCTTTCTCTGTACTGCCTCGAGTAACTCCAGGGGTTTCTAACTGGTCCAAACACACCGTCTGTGCTTCCAGATCTGAGAGGAAGAAACAAAGCAGTACCTCAGAAAAACTTCCTCTTCTGTCCCCAGGGAAACTCAGGGAACTTTCTTAACCCACTGTAGCTTGAGCTGAAAAGGGCTGAGCCTACCGACAGGCAGCGCTCAACAGGCAGCTAAGGAGGGTGGCCGGAGAAGTTTGTGGTGGAAATGAAAATTACTAGCTAAGGGAAGACTTATCCCCGTTGATTATCCAAACCAATTAAAGATGGTTTCCCTGTAAGTTAAGATCTTTCTGTTGAAAAGATTCACACACATTCAGACGACGAGGAAATCTTTTAAAGGAATCTCCCCCTTAATCAGAAGGCTCAAGTTTTAAAAGCATCAGGTGTGGTGGCTCACGTCTTCCGTCTTGGCATTTAGTTGGCTGAGACAGGATGATGTCTATGAATCCCAGGCAGGCCTGGGCTGGAGTGAAACCTGTCTCAAAAACCCAAACAAAACCCCAAACGAGGGATGAGGAGATAGCTCAGTGTGCAAGAACACTTGCAATGCAAGCCCGAGACCCTTGATTTGAATTCCTAACACTCACATGAGAAAGACAGCCACATGCCTGTCATCTCAGCATTTTGGGTAGGGTGGGTAGACAGGCAGCTCTCAGGCTGACCTTGAACTTAAGAGATATGCCTGCCTCTGCCTCAGGCATGGGCCAACATACCAACTAAAGTACTATATATTTTACATAACAGTTTTTCTCGGATTTATCACTTTGAAGTAGCATATTTCAAAAGTTCTTAGTTTACTCAAGCCCAATCTACCAGTTTTTATTTTGAATTATGCTGTGTCCTAGCAAAAAAGATTTTTGCTTAAGTCAAGGCCACAAATCACAAATATTTTTTTAATAGGTTTTCCAAATTTTATCATTTTAGCCTTTACATTCTTTAACTTCTTACTGTGGAACATTTTCACAGCATCTTTTTGTTTTAATGAAAAAACGTCAATAGAATGCTTCTTGATTTAGGTTTGCTACATACTTCTTGCTATTAGACGTAGGTTATAATTTTCCAGCTGACTCATATGTAATGGAGTGTCCTCAAAGAGTCACACTGGAGACATACTAAGTCTACTTTTTCCTCTTTGGCCATGTTAATTTTGATCAGCTGAGAAAAGAAAATACCCTAAAAATCCATGTCCAAGTTTACTTCCATGGATGAAGTCATTACCTAGCACTAAGAGATATCACAATAAACATGGTAGTCCAGGGCTGTTTCTACAAAACAGGAACACTGATCAAACAAATATTATAAATGTGAAAAGAATTATAAAGTGGAAAAATCTAAAGTGCTTTTGGTGAATGATGGACTATTTTCCTCCGTAGTATCAGGAACAAGGCAAGGCTATCCGCTTTACACCCGCCCCTCACCCCCAACTTTAATTATTTGTACATATTTATGTCTATGCATGAGTGCAGATGACCACAGAGGCCAGAAGCGGGTGTCGGGTCACCTGAAGCTGAAGTTACAGGTGTTTGTGAGTTACTCGTGTGGTTACTGGGAACCGAACTCAGGTCCTCTGCAAGAGCAGTAAGCATTCTTCCTGCTGAGCCATCTCTGCCCCTCCCCATTTTACACTTTTTCTTCAACACTTCATTGACAGTCTTAACTGGTTCACCAAGGCAAAATGTAGATCGATAATAAGAAATACAAAATAAAACTGTCTTTGCTATCTACACAAAATAGTCCAAAGAACCTACAAAGACCAACTAGAACTAACACATGAACTTTAACAGGGCTAGGAGGCCAATATAGAAAGAAAAAAAACAATTATGTTTTTATGCATTTGCTATAAATAATTAGAAACTGAACAGCATAAAATGAGTCAGGACTAGAATGCGGCTCAGTGGGCTAAGACACTTGCTGCCAAGCCTGAGAACCTGAATTCAATGCCTAGTTACCCACATGTTGGGGGAAAAGATAGACTCCCTGAATCGTCCTCTGAACTCTACTTGCACATGTCCAATCCCTCAAATTAAATTAAAAACTCTAGTCAAAAATATAAATCACAAAAGCTCTATAAAAAATTTACATTGGGGCCGGGCGGTGGTGGCGCATGCCTTTAATCCCAGCACTCGGGAGGCAGAGCAGGCGGATCTCTGTGAGTTCGAGGCCAGCCTGGGCTACCAAGTGAGTTCCAGGAAAAAGGCGCAAAGCTACACAGAGAAACCCTGTCTCGAAAAAAAAAAAAAAAAATTTACATTGGAAAATCTCAAAAGTATTGCTGAGAAAAATAAACAAAAATCTCAACTAGCACATACTCATGACATTTGTGAATTAGAAGACACAGACAGAGGCCAGTTCAAAGGAAGCTGCTAAAGCTTATGGGGAAAACAAACAGTGCCCATGCAGTGACTTTACAACAGGGCCACAGTGCCCATGCAGTGACTTTACAACAGGGCCACAGTGCCCATGCAGTGACTTTACAACAGGGCCACAGTGCACATGCAGTGACTTTAAAACAGGGCCACAGTGCCCATGCAGTGACTTTAAAACAGGGCCACAGTGCCCATGCAGTGACTTTAAAACAGGGCCGTGGTGCACATGCAGTGACTTTAAAACAGGGCTGCAGTGCACATGCAGTGACTTTACAACAGGGCCACAGTGCCCATGCAGTGACTTTAAAACAGGGCTGCAGTGCACATGCAGTGACTTTAAAACAGGGTTGCAGTGCACATGCAGTGACTTTACAACAGGGTTGCAGTGCACATGCAGTGACTTTAAAACAGGGCCGCAGTGCCCATGCAGTGACTTTAAAACAGGGCCACAGTGCCCATGCAGTGACTTTAAAACAGGGCCACAGTGCCCATGCAGTGACTTTAAAACAGGGCCACAGTGCCCATGCAGTGACTTTAAAACAGGGCCGCAGTGCCTATGCAGTGACTTTAAAACAGGGCCGCAGTGCCCATGCAGTGACTTTAAAGCAGGGCCACAGTGCCCATGCAGTGACTTTAAAACAGGGCCACAGTGCCCATGCAGTGACTTTAAAGCAGGGCCGCAGTGCCCATGCAGTGACTTTAAAGCAGGGCCGCAGTGCCCATGCAGTGACTTTAAAACAGGGCCGCAGTGCCCATGCAGTGACTTTAAAACAGGGCCGCAGTGCACATACAGTGACTTTAAAACAGGGCCGCAGTGCACATGCAGTGACTTTAAAGCAGGGCCGCAGTGCACATGCAGTGACTTTAAAGCAGGGCCGCAGTGCACATGCAGTGACTTTAAAGCAGGGCCGCAGTACACATGCAGTGACTTTAAAGCAGGGCCGCAGTGCACATGCAGTGACTTTAAAACAGGGCCGCAGTGCCCATGCAGTGACTTTAAAACAGGGCCGCAGTGCACATGCAGTGACTTTAAAACAAGGCCGCAGTGCACATGTAGTGACTTTAAAACAGGGCCGCAGTGCACATGCAGTGACTTGAAAAAGAACAAAGTGAGAGACTATTGCCACCAGTGTCAAGACAGATACTGACTCAAGTTTACATGTATGTGTTTGCAGAGAACAAGGACAAGCTTGTCTTGTCTAAACAGTGGTGGGACTAAAATGTCCTTATGTAAAAAACTGAATTATATTCACACAATACACAAAAACCTTAAACTACACGGTGACATCTAAATATAACAGCTCACTCTATAAAAACCTGTCCTTTTGGTCTGGAGAAGGACTACTGGAAGCATCAGTAGAGATCAACATAGAGGCATGAATCATGAAAGAGAAAACCGATGAGCTGGACTTGACCGAAATTAGGATGTAGCATCACCTAGGACACAGCCTCGGGGCTAGCAGAGTGGGAAGACACACACTAACTGTGGGCAGCACATTCCTGAACCATCCCATAGGTCAAGGCCCCGACTACAGAAAGAGAAAGCGGGCTGAGCAGTGACAGTCATTGCTCTGCTTCCTGACTGCACAGGCCATGTACCCTGAGCCTCAGGCTCTGGCTGCCATCTTTCCTGCCAGGTACCTGCAAACTGTAGGCCAAAATAAGCCCTTCTCTCCTTAGGGTGACTTGTCAGTTATCTCTATTACAGCAAAGACAAAAGTAACTAATACAGACAGAATGAAAGACAAGCCAAAGACTCTGAGAACAGATTTGCAAACCACCTTGGAAAACGTACTTGGATCTAGAATATATGAAAGAACTCTTACAACCCAATAAATAAACCAACTGAAGACATACAAATGGCAAAACAGGCACACGAGAAGGCACTTAACAGCATCATTCACCAGGGAAATACATTCTAAACCCAAACAATGTATCTACATACTTGTTAGACGACTGACAAGCTTTCACAGGGACTAAGACTCCCCATGTCACAGTCCTCAAGAAGCAGCTAGAGACTTGGCTCAACAGTTTAGAGCTTGTGGAGCCGGTTCTCAGCACCCACAGCGGTGGCTCTCAACTGCCTGCAACTCCAGCTCCAAGGGATTCAGTGACCTCCTCTGGCCTCCACTGGCACCTGCAGTCATTCTCTTACATATAAATAACAAGAAAAGTAGACATTTAAAAAAAATCTTCAAGCCACCTTGCTACCTTTAGGTACCTATGTGCAGTGAAATTAAAGGCACAGATGCTAAATAAAAAGAGAGAGAAACTTCATTTTACTTACCCCATAGCAAACTCATCTAAATTAGTTTTCCCCATGAGTAGAGCTCCCTGATCCAACAGCTTCTGAACGACTGTAGCATTGTAAGGCGGTATATAACCTGGAGAAATAGTATCTTTATTATATATTACATTATGAGAGAAAACAATGAGTAGGAAGCATGATTTTAAACTTTAATTAATTACTATTGGAGTGTAAATTACTCTTAATTTAAAGAGCAAGTTGTACTTTCTTCTAGTTAATTTTTCTCCTGCCAACTGCCCATTTTTTACAGTACATCATTCACTATTTTTACAATCAGAAAACATTGACTTAAAGAGTACTAAAAAATGTTGGATGGTAAGATAGATCTAATTTATTTGACTCTAATTCCTTATCATTATGCTCAAAAGTTTTTTTCTGCTTCTTAGATAATGTTATGTCACGCAGTAATTTTTATTAATTTTGGTTAGAAACAGGTCTATGCACTCAGGAGGCAGAGGCAGGAGAGTCTCTGTGATTTAAGGCCAGTCCAGATAGCACAGGAAACTCAGGCCAGCAGGGCTACACGGTGAGACTTTGTCCCAACAACAACAACACCCCACCCACAGATTGGAAAAAAACAAAACCAACCAAAAAACCCGCTAGCCTATATTCCAAATTCCACTCCAGTCCACCTAATGAAAGAAGACTCAGAATTTCACTTTTAGTGGGCAGCATTCTGAGGACCTTTTCTTTCTCATTTTTTTTTTTCTGTTAGGATCCAAATACTTTGGTAAACATTCTTGTTTCCAGCCTGATAGATTAAAGAATAAAACTAAGGATTACTACACAGTTCCGAGAGATGGTGAGTAGGAGCTGATGAATTCTCAGTGTCCACAGGAGTAGTGGCAGCCAGTACCAAGTCCTCCGGAAAAGGCTCCAAAACTTTATAAGCAGTATTCATTCACAGGGCTGGCCAACGCCTAAATCAATTCTGGATGTAACGAGCAAGCAGTGAAGGGGCAATAGTCTATCCTAAGTCCTTCCCACAAGGCTGTAATTAATCTCAGGGTATCTTGAAGCTTCAGTATTTTATCTGTAAGCTGAAAACACTCACTTTTATAAAAGTACTAATGTTGTAATCATTAGACTTTACCTTTTAGCATATTTGATGCACATGTTGTCTCGATGCCAGATGTGCTGAAGTTGTCTTTTACAGCAATAGGAATTCCGTCTAAATCTCCAAGGGACTGACCTATACATTTAAAAGCCACAGAGGGGGTGGTAGCAGAAAGACGGTTCAGTAGGGAAGAGTGCTTGTCCAACTAGAGGCCCTGAACTCAGATCCCAGCATCGACATCAAAAGCCGGGCATGGCCACATGCCTTATTCTTTAGTTGGAGGCGTAGTGGGGGATCGAGACAGGGTCTCTCTGTGTAACAACCATGGCTGTCCTGGAACTTTCTTTGTAGACCAGGCTGGTCTCGAACTCACAGAGATCTGCCTGCCTCTGCCTCCCAAGTGCTGGGATTAAAGGCGTGCACCACCACCACCCAGCATGTGATTTATTCTTCTGCCCACCCAAGTACCCACCCAAGTGCTGTGAGGGCTAAAAACAAGATGGTCACTCCAGCTAACACATGCGTGCGTGTGCGCACACACACACACACACACACACACACACACACACAGAGACAGAGACAGAGAACTCCAGAATGAAACTTTAGAAATCAAGTTTAATACAGATAGGCACTATATAATATTTACACCAAATACTCAAAACAAGTTCTTTAGACAAGCGATTGTTTTAAGTTTAAAGCTTTACTTACTGAAAGAAACTGCTATACTCAACTAAATTGTTCCTCTTGAGAGAAAACAATGATATACAGTTGAACATAATTTATATTTACCTTCTTTGTATCTTTTCTCCGACTCTTCAGCTTGCTTTAAGGCCACCTCTTCTGATACAGTAATGTAAGCGTTGAGGTACTTGGTTTTCTTGATGAGGGAGAGACATTTCTTGCAGAGCTCTGTTGGTGTAACCTGGCCCTGTTTCAGTGCTGCAGAAACCTACAGAAGAGACAATTTAGTCTCTTTACAGGTTCTGTGCAGGTCCAAATCTTGTATTGAGGGAGCCATAAGCAGCACAGTGTGGAAACAAAATGTAGAGGTGAGGCTTGGGCTCAAAACCCAGAGAACCTTTTCTCAGACAGTGCAGTAAGCAAAGGGCGGTATTGAGCAGCTATAGGATGTGAGTGGTGGGGAGCAATCTTTCTCTTGTTGACTTATTTTGTTTCTTAGTTAGGCTTGGGCAAACAACAGTAGTTAAGTGAGCCATGCAGGCCTGGGGCAGCTGAGCCCAGCCTGGGTATAGATGGGTAGGGGATAGTAGGTTCAGGGAGCAGCTTACTGTAACCCAAGGAGTGCACAGTGAAAAAAGAGAAGCATTTTATGCCACTGAAAAAGACCTTTATATTTACTGGATATTTCAGATAAGACATATTAGTGTTCAGAAAAGTGCACAGACATATGATATACATACCCACATACATCTTACATAAACTTCTCAGAATTTCTGTCTTTTTGTGCATTAAGAAGGCTGGTGGGGGCTGGAGAGATGGCTCAGCCGTTACAAGCACTGGCTGCTCTTCCACAGGACCTGGGGTTCAATTCCCAGCACCCACATGGCAGCTTACAGCTCTCTGTAACTGCACTTGCAGGGGATCTGAAACCCTCATGCCAATGTACATAAAAGAAATTAAAAAAAAAAAAAGGCTGGTGGATGAAGGGTTAAAATGCATGAGAAGTAGGGCTGCAGAGATAGCTCAGCAGTTAAAAGCATAGACTGTTCTTGCACAAGACACCATCTCAGGTGGCTCACAAGGCCTATAACTCCAGGTCTGAGGAAGCCAACTCCTCTGTCCTCCGAAGTGCCTGAACTCACATGCACACACACAAAGAACACAGACACAATTAAAAAACAATAAAAATAGATCTTTAAAAAATGCATGAGAAGTGACCAGTACTTATTATTTGGCAGTGAGACCTGAGATGAAGTGAGTATTATTTGCCATGTCCTGCAGGAAGTAAGACTAGGTACTTGCTGATCACAAAAGGACAGCAGGTAACAAGAAGTCAATGATATCAGGCTGTCTTTGGAGATAATATGAAAAACAGCTGCATCATCCACCTGTTATGTGAGTTCAGAGACAAGGGGGTCTGGAATAAAGTAATTCTCGATGAGCCAGGCACCGTTGGTTTGTTTCATCAATTCATTAGGAAGTTTGACATTATTAACCATCTTGGACAAATGAAGAAACTGAAGCCCAGAAGCTGTCCATTTGTCCAAAGGCACACAACAGGACAGGACAGGGGGACTTCATAATATACTCTCCTTACCACTTCTATGTTTACTCTCATGGGAAAGAGTTTGTTCTCTACGTTGACTGTATTCTCATGTCTGGAATGTATAAAGCAACAGGAGTTTGCATTTAGGGGGAGGGTCTGCAAAAGATCAGCTTTTGGCTACTAAACATATCATCGAAGCAATGACATTCTTAGCGCTGAGAACCGTGGGAATGGCAAAGAATGTGGCTGCTTTTTGCCCTTGCCCAAAAAATCAGCCTGAGGCTGAACTGAAGAATTTGGATTAATGGCACTGGAAGAGATTTCAAGACACTCTAGTATTGACTGTGCCATGTGGTTATCAGTGGCCACTCCTACGCAGATCTATAATGAAAAGAACAGGCTAAGAAAGGAAAAATTCAAAATGTACAGTTTGAGGAGAAAAGGAAGACCAGGAAACGTAATGGAGCTAAATCCAATGCTTGAGGAGATTAAAAAGTTTAAAGAAAATCCTGATGCTAAAGGAATAAAGGGAGTGATGACCACACAGCAAGACTTCACCCAACTAAGCTTCCAACTTGTAAAAAGAAATTAGAGAAAGCTGAAGACATGAAGGAAACCATCAACAACAGAAAGCTGATACAGACGTAATTGAATGACGGGGCCATGCTCTAGCCCCAACAAGCAGCAGAACTTGGAAGTTTCAGCCAAGTGGTAGAGTCAACTAAGGAAAGCCACTGAGGCCAGGCATACGCCATGTGTGTCCCTGAATGGAGGTCCAGAGAGTCCATTGTGTGAAGCTGTTAAAGTGAAGCCTGGATTGCTTTAGAAACCTCAAGAAGTTGGAGATGCCAGAGTTGTGGGATACCTGCCAAGGAAAGCTGCTAACAGGGAGTGGAACCAGCCCAAGAGAAGTATGTTGCAGTCAACAAAGCTGAAAGGAGTTGGCGATCTGAAGAGTGTTTTGACATCAGACAAGGAGATGCAGTTTGGAGTCTGCCCAGCTGGTTTCTGGTCTTACTTTGATCCAGTATCTCCTCACTGTGCTCTCTTTCCTCCTTTTTCAAATGGTAATGTATATCGTGTGCCATTGTATGTTGGAAGTATGTGATCTGCTTTGATTTTGATTTTTCAGCGTGTTACAGTTAAGAGATGGAGTACTGTGTTACAGACTATGGAGACTTTTGAAGTTGTAGTGACTGAATTTTTGCATTATGATATGGATACAAGCCTATGGGGGCCCAGGAGTGGAATGTGGTGGCTTGCATAAGAATGGGCCCCCATCGGCTTAAATATTTGAATGCTTAGGGAATGGCAGTAGTTTAAAGGTACAGTCTTGTTGGAGGAAGTGTGTCTCTAGGGGCAGGCTTTGAGGTTTCAAAAGTCCATGCCAAACCCAGTGCCTCTCTCCTCCTGCTGCCTGTGGATCTGGATATAGAACTCTCAGCTCCTTCTCTAGCACTATGTCTGCCTGCATGCTGCCAGGCTCCCTGCTGTGATGACAATGAACTAAACCTCTGAAACTGAAAGCAAGCCTCAATTAAAGGCTTTCCTTTATAAAAGTTGCTGTCTGTGGTCATGGTGTCTCTTCACAGCAGTAAAACACTGGCTAAGAAAATCTTTTTGGTTTTGAACCCTGAGAAGCCAGTCCATACAAACTATTGGATTAATTGCAGTAGCTTGGAGTCT